GCTCTGCCCCCCAGTCTCAGCTACACGGCCAGGGAAGCTAGGGACTGTTTTATTCTCCACAGTATCCGGGCACTGTAGCTCCATCACTGCTTGTGGATGAATGAATTAGGGAAGGATCAGTGTTCTCTGGGCTGGAAGGACGGCGGGACCTTAGTTTCAGGGACAGCACAGGGCAGCAGCCTGTTGAGAACAGCCTTCTTCCCTCGAGCCACAAGAGTCCTGTTTATGTCCTTCTTCACACCTCTCTACGCTTAGCAATGGTTTTGGTTTGGTTCCCTTTGCGTGTCTTCCCACTAGAATGACTCCCTGGAGGCAGGGACCACGCCACTACCGCACATGCACAGCCTGGTGCGGGCCTGGCAATGTAGGGGGCACCGATCCATACTTGTTGTACAAACGAAAGAAACAGGAGTTATCTAAAAGAAGCAATGAATTGCCACACACCTGGGGAGCCAAGGGGGGCAGTTTGGACCTGGAGTGAAAAGCAAGTAAGGGGGAGTGGGGGGGCTCCCTGGCGGCCTAGGGGTTAAATCTCATCCCTATCATGGGTGGCCTGCTTCAATCTCAGCCAGGGAGCTGACCCACTCGGGGTGCAGGCGGAACCCTGCTGTCTCACCCCTTGCTCCTGTTAGTGGATTTCGGTCAATCCACCTGTTCTGCTCCCTTGTTTCTGGTGAATCTTCTCACCCCCTCAGTGATCTACACCTCAGTTCTTCTGTGCAAAAAAGAAACGAAAAGCAAGCAGAAAGAAAGAAGTGCAAGAGGCGTCCTGACGGGCCCACCAGCAGGGGCTGCTGCAGCAGCAGATTCCAAGGAAGGAAGGGGGCAGAGGGTGGCTGATGGATGAACAGAGGAAGAACGAGGCCTCCAGAATGTGTCGCCCAGTACAGGAAAGATGAGCCACTTTGTGAAGCCAGTGGTCCTGGCCCAAGGTAAGCACGCAAGGGCCGCCGACTGGCCTCACTGCTTCTAATTTCTGTCCAATTGGAGTAGAAGTGACCTGGGGGAAAGGTGAGCCTAACCTAGTCTGACCAGCTGCTTGAAAGTATAAATAACCAGGCGGCAGCTCAGTGGAGGACAAGCTCAGACAGGCGGATGCTGAGGACTTCTGGGAAGGTGGAAACTGGAGGTGGAGGAACAGAGGAGAATTGGGGGCTACCCATACTGGGGGAACCAGGGAGGCCAGCCAGCAGAGAAAAGGGAGGCCAAAAGAAGGTCTAACAAGGCAAGGAGGGTGATGGATGTAAACCAGAGGAACCACTTCGAGAAAGGGTCACTGAGCCCAGATCTCAAAGGAGCACCTGACTGCTGGCCTCTGGCGCTGCTGGACCAAAGGTGCCTGGTCAGGAGGATTCAGTGTGAAGAGGTTTGCCGCCGGTCCCACTGTCCCAGGCATCTGGGCACACAGCCCAAGCCTCATTTGTGGCAGAGATTGCCAGCTGTCCCCCAAATTCACTCCATGGTGACAAGGCTTCTAAATTTGACCTAGACACAGAGCAACCCAGCTGAAACCCACATCTCACCCCTCTTGCAGCCTGGTGGGGCAACCTAAGGAGGATGGTGCAGCTTCTGAGTCTTAGGTGTCCTCTGCACACAGGCCCCCTCTTCTCCTTTCTCCTCCCCCTCTGGCTGGAATGTGACTCATCTTCCAGACACAGACACAGCAGCAACCTAGGAGCTTTGGGACAGACCTACACCAC